AGGAACTCAGAGCAGATCTTCTCCAACCCCAGAGCCCAGCCGCAATTGAGCTTTTTTAAATAGCCTTGGCAACCTCAGTCCCGGTTATGAACAGACAAACCTCAAAGTCTCCCAACTCAGTTTCCTCCAAGGAAGACGTGCTGGCGGGATTGAAAAGGTCCAAGAAGTACTCCTTCTGCCTCACTGGTTGAGATCAACATCACCCCACCTTCACTAAACATAATGTCTGTAAAGTGCTGCTTTCCCTGCCTCAGCTGCCTGATGGTTTGCCAGAATCACCTTGTAGCTGATTAAGAGTCTCTATCCAAGGCCTCACCAAACTCTTTTCACATTTGAGCTTTTGCCTCAACACCAACCAGGGCTGCAGCCCACATGGCTTGCCAGTACTCCTCAGTAGCCTCCAGAGTCCTACCAGCTTACAAGGTCCAATAGGACTCCTACTGTTTGGCGGCCTCCCCAACCTTGGCTGTGCACCATCAAATTCGAGAATGGCCAATGCGAGAAGCATCGACAACCTTGCGGCAGCCTCCTTGACAATGGAAGCGTAGAACATTGCCCACTCCGACTCAATATCCCCTGCCTCAGCTAGGATGCAGTTAATGCTGCATCTTAGGCGGAGGTGTGAGTTAAAGATATTTCTGGTTGTATTTTCTGCCAGGCGTTTCCAGCAAACACTTACTACACATTTGGGTCAACTGGGTTTGTCCAGCATCTTCCTCCACCATCTGATTCAACTCACCACCAGGCGGTGACCAGTTGACAACTCGACTCCTCTCTTCACCCGAGTATCCAAAATATATGGCCAGCATACAGCCGCAGATCAGATGACACAACTACAAAGTCAGTCACCGATCTGCAGCCTAGGGTGTCCTGGTGCCATATGCACTTATGGACACACTTATGTCCGAACGTGGTGTTCATAATGGACAAACTGTGACTAGCACAGAAGTCCAACAACAGAACGCCGCTCGAGTTCATATACGAGAGGCAGTTCCTCCAGGTCACGCCCATCCAGGTCACACTGTCGTTACCCATGTGGGCGTTGAAGTCCCCCAACAGAACAAAAGAGTCCTCAGCTGGAGCACCTTCCACCACCCCCACTAAGGACTCCCAAGAAGGTGGTTCTAGTAACGTTTTTAATGTGGGCGTTAAAAAACATGTCCTGATCAAAAATAACTCCAAGATTTTTAACATTAGAACTAGAGTCAGATTAATGCCATCCAAGGAGGGCGAAAGACTGAAAAATTTATTCCTAAGATGCTCAGGTCCAAAAACCAAAACCTCAGTCTTGTCTGTATTCAAAAGCAGAACATTAAGGGTCATCCAGGTTTTTATGTCTTTAAGACATGGTTGTAGTCTAAGTAGTTGATTGGATTCATTGGGTTTCATAGACAAATATAACAGTGTGTCATCAGCATAACAATGAAAATTTATCCCATGCTGTTTAATAACTTTACCTAATGTGGCCGGCTGTGGCTGAGTGGTTAGAGCAGTCGTCCTCCAATGCAAGAGTTGGGGGTTCGAATTCACCAGCAGTCACATGCCGAAATGTCCCTGGGCAAGACACTGAACCCCTCGTTGCCTCCGATGTGTGTCCCATCGGTGTATGAATGTGATCTAAAGCACTGATTAGTCTCTTTAGAATGATTTGTTCAATTAGCTTTGTAGAGCTCTAGTAGAGTGCTGTATGAATGGGTAAATGAGGGCACAGATTGTAGTGTAAAGCGCTTTGAGTGTCTTCATAAAATAGAAAGGTGCTATATAAGTACAGTCCATTTACCATTTACAGTCTATCTAATTGAAGCATATATATATAAGGTAAAGAGTATTGGTCCAAGCACTCAACCTTGAGGAACTCCTTGACTAACTTCGGTGTATTATGAAGATTAATTGTTGACATTTACATATCTATATGACTATATCAGATAAATGTGATTTAAACCAAATTAGAGCAGTTCCTGCAATTCCAATGTCATATTACTCTCTGTAGTAGAATATTGTGATCAACTGTATCAAATGCAGCACTGAGGTCTAACATGACCAATGTTGACACCTGTCCATTGTCAGAGGCCATGAGAATATCATTAGTAACTTTTGCCAGTGCAGTTTCAGTGCTACAGCGAGCTCTAAACCCTGACTGAAACTCTTCAAACAGATTATTTCTTTGTAGATGTTCATGCAACTGACCTGCAACTATTTTCTCTAGAATTTTTGAGATGAAAGTTAGATTAGATATTCAAACCGGATTCCAAAAAAGTTGGGTCACTAAACAAATTGTGAATAAAAACTGAATGCAATGATGTGGAGATGGCAAATTTCAATATTTTATTCGTAATATAACATAGATGACCACTCAAAAGTTTAATCTGAGTAAATGTAACATTTTAAAGGAAAAATATGTTGATTCAAAATTTCACAGTGTCAACAAATCCCAAAAAAGTTGAGACAAGTAGCAATAAGTGTCTGGAAAAAGGAAATTGAGCATATAACGAACAGCTGGAAGACCAATTAACACTAATTAGGTAAATTGACAACATGATTGGGTATAAAAAGAGCTTCTCAGAGTGTCAGTGTCTCTCAGAAGCCAAGATGGTAAAAGGATCACCAATTCCACCATTGTTGCACAGAAAGATAGTGCAGCAATACCAGAATGGTGTTACCCAGCGTAAAATAGCAAAGACTTTTAAGTTATCATCATCAACCGTGCATAACATCATCAAAAGATTCAGAGAATCTGGAACAATCACTGTGCGTAAGGGTCAAGGCCGTAAAACTTTACTGGATGCTCGTGATCTCCGGGCCCTTAAACGTCACTGCACCTCAAACAGGAATGCCACTGTCAAGGAAATAACAGAATGGGCTCAGGAACACTTCCAGAAAGCATTGTCAGTGAACACAATCCACCGTGCCATCCGCCGTTGCCAGCTGAAACTCTACAGTGCAAAGAGGAAGCCATTTCTAAGCAAGCTCCACAAGCTCAGGCGTTTGCACTGGGCCAGGGGTCATTTAAAATGGAGTGTGGCAAAATGGAAGACTGTTCTGTGGTCAGATGAGTCACGATTTGAAGTTCTTTATGGATCACTGGGATGCCATGTCATCCGGACCAGAGAGGACAAGGATAGCCCAAGTTGTTATCAATGCTCCGTTCAGAAGCCTGCATCACTGATGGTATGGGGTTGCATGAGCGCTTGTGGCATGGGCAGCTTGCATGTCTGGAAAGGCACCATTAATGCAGAGAACTATGTTCAGGTTCTAGAACAACATATGCTCCCATCTAGACGTCATCTCTTTCAGGGAAGACCCTGCATTTTTCAACACAATAATGCCAGACCACATTCTGCAGCAATCACAACATCATGGCTACGTAGGAGAAGGATCCGGGTACTGAAATGGCCAGCCTGCAGTCCAGATCTTTCACCTATAGAGAACATTTGGCGCATCATAAAGAGGAAGGTGCAACAAAGAAGGCCCAAGACGATTGAACAGTTAGAGGCCTGTATTAGACATGAATGGGAGAGCATTCCTATTTCTAAACTGGAGAAACTGGTCTCCTCTGTCCCCAAACGTCTGTTGAGTGTTGTAAGAAGAAGGGGGGATGCCACACAGTGGTAAAAATGGACTTGTCCCAACTTTTTTGGGATTTGTTGACGCCATAAAATTTGGAAACAACAGATTTTTCCCTTAAAATGATACATTCTCTCAGTTTAAACTTTTGATCTGTGATTTGTGTTCTGTTCTGAATAAAATATTAGATGTTGGCACCTCCACATCATTGCATTCAGTTTTTATTCACAATTTGTTTAATGTCCCAACTTTTTTGTAATCCGGTTTGTAGGTCCGGTGGCTAGGATTCCTGAGTCAAGGTTATGTTTCTTAAGTAAAGATTTAATTACAGCAATCTTAAAGCTCTGTGGTGGTACATAACCATTCATTAGAGACAAATTAAGCAGATCCAAGACGTGGTTATTAATTAAGGGAAACGCATCGTTAAATTGCCTGGTTGGGATGGGATCTAGCAGACTTATAGATGATTTGGATTAAGCTATTTTTGACAATTCAAAGAGTTCAACTGGACAAAAACAGTCCAAACATAAATCAGGTTCTAGTGACATTTTTAAAGTTGTGTCATCTGACACAGAACCAGAGGCAATACTAGGAATGGTTTGAATTTTTTTCCCAACTGAAATACGGTAATTTTATTTATAAAGAATCTCATGAAGTCATCACTGCTTATAGTTGTAGGGATACATGAATCAACAGAAAGAGGATTTTTCATTAGACTATCTATGGCACTGAAAAGCAACCTGTTTTTTTTTTTATCCATACATCCATTATCTTTTACCCACTTCTTCCATTTTGGGTCATGGGGGTCGCCGGTGCCTGTGTCCGGCAATCTCTGTGCGAGGGGCAGGGTACACCTTGGACAGGTCGCAAGTCCATCACAGGGCCAGTTTAATTTATTTTTATTCTCATCAATTAAAGATGAATAATATAAAGTTCTAGGTTTATGGTGTGCTTTTTTGCACGTTAGTATGCTATCTATCCAAGATAAGTAAAATTCTTCAACGTTAGTGGAACGCCTTTTTCTTTCCAGCTATTTAGATGTCTGATTTAAAGTCAGACTTATGACTTTTCTCAGAATTTTGGAAGGAAAAAAAACAAAAATAAAAAGTCAGATGTTTGAAAAAATAAAAATAAAATTAAATTCATCATGGCCCAATTCTCTTCAGGCAAAGCAGTTCTGAAATGGCTTGTCTATGGTGCGTTCAGTGCCTGGAAAAGTATCAGATTTTTGAATGTTAACCAGTCAGTTGGGTGGTGCATGTCACAAGCCAATTCTCTGATACAACTTTACTGATTATTATTGTTATTATTATTATTATTATTATTATTATTATTATTATTATTATTATTATTCAGTATCACTCATCATGGTCAGGGTTTACAGAACAAAGTGTGCTAAAGCTGACATTCATGTAGAATGTTTCCCTGTCCTGCAGCTTGAGGATCACACATATGGACCAAAGAGGGGCACAAAAGCATTACAGGTGGAAAGTCACTCATTGGTTCATTATTTGTAGCTGATTGTTTTTCGTTACTTGTTTATTTTAACTTCAGATCTCATTGTTATTTCACCCATGTAATTTTTTTAAAATTTTGTTTGTTTTAATGTAGCTGTTACCTGTGTTTTTTTTTTTTCTCTCGGCAGGACACACAGCCTTCTCCCCTTGCCCTCCTGGCTGCTACCTGCAGTAAAATTGGCCCTCCTGCTGCCCAGGCCCCTGCCACTTCTCCACCGGTGCAGGCACAACCTCGCAGACTTCATCCCATAAAGCCGGCTCCCATAGCACCCGCTCCACCCAAAAACTTGGGTTTTCTTTCAGCAAAGGGCAATGTGATCCAGCTCCCTGCTGCTTTAGGGTCCACAACTCCTGGTAGCCCCATCGTCCTGACAATCCAGCAGAGCCCTGCCCGCAGCAACACTTCTGGCCCTGCCAACATCCAGTACCAGGTGATGCCGCAGATCCAGATGATGCCTCAGGGAGGTCAGATCCAACTCATACCGGGCACCAACCAGGCCATCATTACCACTCCTATGACTGTGCCAGCTCCAACTGCTGCCACTACGCCTGTCACACCACAGAAAACTGTAGCTATCAAGCCCTCTCCTAAGGTACAGATGTCAAACAACACAACTGCAAATATAGTTCAGCTGCCCAGCGGGCTCACACTTCCCCTTAATGTGGCTACTGGAGAGGTAGGTGGAACTCCAGTGATCACTGAGACTGCAGCTTCACCTCCTACACCTGGAAAAGGACGGCGAGGGAGGAAGAGAAAAGTGGTTCTGCCAGCCGAGCCTCCGCCGCCTGCTCCTGCACAGGCTGCCTCCCCATCCCCAGAGCAGATGGAGACCATCTTAATAGAGGCTGGGGACAACATCATTCAGGTACAGACACTTGTTGTATTCACAGAGGTTGACCAGGATTCATTCATTATCTTTACCCACATCTTCCTTTCCAGGACATGGGGGTCGCTGGTTCCCATGTCCAGCAGTCACTGTGTGAGAGGCGGAGTAGATGAGTCTTTCTAAAAAAACATTTGGCCAATAAGAATTATTCATTTAACTAAGCCAAACAATATATACCAATATATATATATGACCAATATAAACTGAACATTTATTTATTTATTTATTTATTTATTTATACAAAAATACAATTTAATATGAAAGTAAAAGCACATTTGTACAAAGTAATGCCAAACTAATAAAAAATTTGAATTAAAATAAGTGATTTCATAAATATTTACTCCATTAATGTGAATTTGAAATTTAGACTTTGTTCAGCTGTACATGTCTGTCATGGTTCTACTCAAACATAATATTTGTCCAGTCTGGATCAGCCTGAATATCTGTTGACTCGCACACATCTGATCTGCTGCCGTCACATTAATAAACACACAGCAGCTGAGAGTTTCTGTAGCTTCTGAACAAAGGACCTCCTACAAAGGAAATGAGAAAGCCAAACTTTATCTGTCTTTTTATCATTGTCCTCAGTTACACAGCAGGTCAAACTTTCTTCTCTGGCTTTATCTTCATTTGCAACACAATCATTTTTGTCAGCGTCTAAGCCAAATCTCCATCTCCATCTTTTACTGCTCATCTGAAGTTGGGTCACAGAGGTGACAGGTCCAGGACATCCCTCTCCCTAGCAACACTTTCCAGCTTGTCCTGGGAGACCCCAAGGCGTTCCCTGGCCAGGGAAGACACACAATCCCTTGAGTGAGTTCTGTCTCTTCACCGGGGCTTCCTACCAGTGGGGAGTTTGTGGTAAACCTCTAAAGTGAGGCATCCAGGAAGCATCCTACGTAGATGCCCAAACCACCTCAACTGACTGCTTTCAGTGTGGAGAAGCAGCGGCTCTAAACCAAACTCCCCCCAGATGACAGAGCTCCTCACCCTGTCTCTAAGGCTGAGCCCAGCCACCCAGTAAATGAAGCTCATTTCAGCTGCTTGTATCTTGGGTCTTGTTCTTTCAGTCATGTTCTAAACCTCATGACCATAGGTGAGGGTTGGAATGTAGACTGACCAGTAAATCAAGAGCTTTGCCTTTTAGCTTAGCTCTTCACCATAACCGATCGAAGCAATACAAAACACCCTCTTTATTGAGGATGTTGCCCCAGTCTGTCAATCCCATCTCCCACTTTATCCTACCATCAGCCATGAACAAGTTGCTCAGATACTTAAACTCCACCACCCGAGTCAAAGTCTTCCCCTTGACCTGGAGGGGTCATTCCACCTATTTCCACTCGAGAACCATGTCCTCAGACTTAAAGGAACCGACTCTGATTCCTGCTGCTTCACACTTGGCTGCGAACCGCCCCAATGCACGCTGAAGGTTTTGGCCTGAAGATGCCAGCAGAACCACATCATCTACATAAAGCAGAGATAAGACCCTAAGGTTCCAAACCAGTCACCCTTCTTTCCACAATTGTGCCATGAAATCCTGTCCATGAACACCACAAGCAGGATTGGAGGCATGGGACAGCCATGGTGCAGACCAACCTGCACCGTGAATGCGCTTGACAACGTGCCAAGAATGCGGACATAGCTCCTGCTTTAGTGGTACAGGGGCCAGATAGCTCTTAAAAGCAACCCAGGCACCCCATACTCCCACAACACCCCCCACAGAAAGTCTTGAGAAACGTGGTCATAATCTTTCTCCAGATGTACAAAACACATATAGACTTTAGAGGCACAATCCCATGGCCCCCTTAGCAACTCTGCAAGGGTAAAGATCGTGTCTGTTGTGTCTAAGCCAAATGAAGGAATGTGGGCCCTGTCCCATCCAGGCTGTGTCTGGTTTGGGAGGGGATTTACTGATGAGGATATTGTTGCGCGGTGGAAGAGGAAATCTAGTGTTGTAGTCAAGACCACCTAATCCGAGACCAAGACCAGAATGTACTGAGACCGAGACAAGATCAAGACTTTTAGGGTCCGAGACCAAGTCGAGACCAAGACAGAGGGAGGGCGAGACCAAGTCGAGACCAAGACCTAATAATAAAATATAAGCATTTATTATAAAATATATTATAAAATATATTATAAAATATTTTTTATAAAAGTTACATACTGCAACTTTGTTTGCTTTTGAATGAATATATCAGTTTTTATCAAATTTCGAAGCTACATAACAAAGAAATCAGACATTCAGTGGCCTAACTTCATGTGATTCAACAATAAAATTACACAGCTGTTAAATTGGAAACCGTTTCATCACAGGCCAAGCCTTAAAATAACTGGCCAAACACTTCACAAGTCCAAACTCAAGACCAAGGATAAGCATATACAGGGCCTTCTCAAAAAATTAGCATATTGTGATAAAGGTCATTATTTTCCATAATTTAATGATAAAAATGAAACTTTCATATATTTCCGATTCATTGCACACCAACTGAAATATTTCAGGTCTTTAATTGTTTTAATACTGATGATTATGGCATACAGCTCATGAAAACCCAAAATGCCTGTCTCAAAAAATTAGCATATCATGAAAAGGTTCTCTAAACAAGCTATTAACCTAACCATCTGAATCAACGATGTAACTCTAAACACCTGCAAAAGATTATAATCCACACTTTTAATCCAGGTTACAATAATCCACACTTTTAATCCAGGTTACAATGATCCACACTTTTAATCCAGGTTACAATAATCCACACTTTTAATCCAGGTTACAATAATCCACACTTTTAATCCAGGTTACAATAATCCACACTTTTAATCCAGGTTACACTCTTCCCTCAATGACACATTTTACAAAGTAGCTACATATTGTGCAGGTATAAAGATACATTTGTATATATTTTTGTGTACATTTATTTTTTTAAGCTATTTGACTAACTTTTATTTTTTATTATTCAATATTTTACTAACAGAATAGTAAAATAGCAACCTGTTTTTTGTGTGAATTGCTATGTCAGTCAAATGTTCAATTTTGGAATAAAGGGGGGGTGGAAATTAAAACGTTGTGGGTTTTTTTGCCGATTCATCGATTAATCGAAAAAATAATCGGCCGATGAATCGATTATTGAAATAATCGTTAGTTGCAGCCCTACTCTGGATGTTGTGGGGCTGTCATAGTTGACACATCTCTTCGACGTAGCATTAAAAAAAAAAAAAAAAAAAAAAAAACTTGTATGCATCCTTTATGATTGTCCATTGTTGTCCACTGTTGTCATCACTCTTTGTTAAAATTCAGGTCTCTCTTGTAAATGAGTCCTCGTGGCTCAGTGGGATTACCTGTCTAAATAAAGGTTGAATGAAAATGTTGCATGGAAGACTGGGATAATGCCTGTGGAGTGGCAGACCAGGATGGTGGTTCCCATTTGTAAAATGGGGGACCAGAGTGTGTTTCAATTATCACTGGATCACATTTCTTGCCTGTCATGGTAAAGTTTACTCCAGTGTGTTGGAAAGGCGGCTCCTACAGATTGTCTTATCTCAGATCCAGGAGGAACAGTGTGGCTTCTGACCTGGTTGTGATCTGAGCCAAATAACAGACATCCGTATCTTCAACTGCTCCCATTTTAGTTTAACACAGTGCAGCATGTTTATTAGGTTGGAATAAAACTTTATAGCAAAATTAAAACGTTGTGAGAAAACTATACATGTAAAAATGTATTGTTTGAATTTTGTGAGCATCTGTGTTTACAGGGTCACGTTTTCAGCATTTTTAAGTAGTTACTGTCGTTTAATTAAACCGTCACCGTGGGACCCTGAATTATCAACATGTAAAAAAGTGTGCCTGTTTTATTTATTCATAAATTGTTTTAAATGTCTTTCTTTCCACCTTGTGCTTGGCTCGCTGGACGAGCTGCTTGTTGTTCATCCTCCTCTGTATTTCTGACGTCAAAATGTTTTTGTCACCCACAATCGCTGTTAAATATGAATCAGCATGATTTGTAGATGTGCTCCACTTTGCCTTCCCGCTCTAAATTGCACCACAGAAGCTTCAAGCTGCTGCTCTGCACAGAAACTGTGTTTACTTTCTGACGGGTCTGCCTGCCCATGTTCAGAGTTTCTAGTACATGTTGGGTGTTTTTTTTTTTTTTGGAGCAATGAAATATTGTGCACAGCCTGAGCCTACAATACAGTTATGTTGTGCAAAAGCTGGCACAATGGCTGGCTGGCTCAACCTACTCTGGAACACTTTACATTAACATTGAACTAGTAATTGTATTGTCAGAACTTTCAGTGTTCAAACTCTGCAAGCTGCACTCTTTTATTCCAGAACATCTTCAGAAGTTCTTGAAGAAAGTTTGTAAATGTCACATTTTATGTTGCTTGCACAGCACCAATTAGCAGCATTAACTCAGTGAAAGAAAAACTCAGTGAAGAGTACAGAAAGATGTGTGTTAAGCTGAAAAATAAAAGTACTATCCAAGAATAAGCTCATGTGTTTGCATTTTTTGTAGGCAGGGAACAACTTGCTGATTGTGCAGAGTCCTGGGCAGCCAGCTATGGTGCAGCAGGTTCAGCTGGTCCAGCCCAAATCAGATTCTCAGATGGTTCAGATCCCTCAGCAGGCCTTGAAGGTAGTGCAGGCTGCCTCTGCCACGTTGCCGCCTGTCCCACAGAGACAATCTGTCTCTTCAAGTCTGCAGGTTTCTCCAACAGATCCATCACCAACCCAGGTATGCTTCCAGACCAACGCCTATGTCTACATTTCCAGTTAAGGCTGCCTTCACATAACAAGCGCAGCAAAGTTCAACATTTATTCACAATCATCTCCAGGGTTGTTATTGTTTTGCTTTGTAGTTTTTGAACAGTTTGCCCCAAGTTGTTTGCCAACTACCACAGTGCTTTTCTGCTGAACTACTTCCAGCACAAATTTGGAGCTAGGCTCGTCTTAAATCCATTTATCTATCTTTGTTAAATTATGAAGCACCAAATCGAACACAGAAAACCTTACTCCTGGATCTCATATTATCTTAGTAAAAAGTGTTCACCAGTTCTAACTGTTCAAAACAGTATATGCAAATTCAACCTGGAATATTAGGAGCAGCTGTTTGCTAAAATAAGACAAACACCATCCATCCATCCATTTTCTTTACCCGCTTAATCCATTTTGGGTCACGGGGGTCGCTGGTGCCCATGTCCAGCAATCACTGTGCGAGGGGCGGGGTACACCCTGGATGGGTCGCAAGTCCATCACAGGGACACATAGAGACAAACGAGACAAACAAACATTCACTCTCTCACTCACACCTAGGGACAATTTAGAGTTACCAATCAGCCTAACATGCATGTTTTTGGTCTGTGGGTGGAAACCGGAGTACCCGGAGAAAACCCACGCATGCACGGAGAGAACATGCAAACTCCACCCAGAAAGGCCCCTGGACCGGGGTTTGAACCAAGGACCTGCTCGCTGAGAGGCAGCAGCTCTACCAGTTGCGCCACCGTGCTGCCCAAGACAAACACTATCGATCTTATTTTTTTAACGTTTGTATTTTAAATGTCCTATTTCTGTACTTGTTTAAAACATCAGTTTGCTCATAATCTTCATCTTGTTTCTTTTTGTTCTGATGAAATGAACTCTGCAAAGCAGCATACACTTCTTCATTCTATCTATTTAAATTATTTTTTACTTTTTCTCTCCTCAGATTCTCTTCAAAACAACTTCAGGTGAGTGGCAGTCGGTTCAAATTCAGGACTCGGGCTCAACGACGACCCCTGCCACCTCAGCTGCCCCCACGACCACGTCACCACCTGCCAGTACCAGGAGGACGCAGGCAGGTGGCCGGAAGGAGCGCACTCTGGCAAAAATAGCCCCAGCAGGTGGAATGATTACATTCAACACGCCGCAGCTGTCCTCAGCAGCACAAACCGTGCAGACGATCAGCATCAACGGTGTCCAAGTTCAGGGAGTTCCTGTCACTATCACCAATGCAGGAGGTGAGCTATGGGTGATTTTTTTTATTTTTTATTTCCAGTTTTTCTTTGGATTGTGTGTAATTAAAGATACTCAATATTGTAGAGCACAGTTTATATTTGTAAAAATATTAATTGAAATAGAAAAGTATTTTGAGGGATAGCAACATCATATAAAGGTAAAGCATTTACTGAGTTAGAAATTATGGTAAAAAAAAACAAGTTAAAATATCTCAATGTGAATTATTATGCTGTAAAAGCACTTTGCTGAAGCATCTTACAACTCTATTAGCAATAAACATGCAGTTTTGAGACACACACAATTAGACCAGTTTCCCTGAAAATTTAAACTTTTAACTCTACAGTAGTCCCTCGTTTATCGTGGGCGATCTGTACCCTGTAGCCCCACGATAAGTGAAAAACCACAAAGTAGGAATAGTAATACAAGTAGTAAATGTTACTCCTTTGTTTTGTTTAGTTTACATGCCAATCCGCTAGGGGGCACTGTCATGCCAGTAGCGCATGTTAAGGTGTTTTACACTCTTCTTCTGTGGTGTCTGAGTCTGGCTGAGATGAGCATGGTGGAATAAAGTTAAAATATATATAATAAATATTTTTATTGACTAACATTGGTAGCAGAGGATGGTTAGTAACTACAGAGTTCCACCAACGTTCGAAGAAGGAAAGCCTTATTAAAGTTGGAAGAATGAAGTCAACATTTGGACGAGAGTTACAGATTTGGAGAAGAGAAAGTAAGCGCTCGCTGTCGCCCTGGCGCTGTCTGGAAGTGAGCGAGACACGGCGATGGAAATTCCGGTAGACGATCTAAATAAAGACACTGGAATGACCACATTAGCTAAACTAGATGATTTGTTCCTAAAAGAGGAAAAGGACAGGGTCTATGAAGCGTACTCAGATTTTGACCGGGTCATTAAAGAAGCAAACAAGTTGATGGCAGATTATTGATTTCGAGCAGCGTTACTCACGCATGAAAAAATACAACATGGAGCTAACCGACGCTGTTTTGGTTTTTAAGCTTTTGGACACTGCGTGTTTGGATACGACGGACAGACAGTTGGCTCTAACGGCATATTCAGACATAACATTTGTTTCAATAAAGTCTGCTTTGAAGAGAATATTTGGCAGAAAAAAAAAAGAGTGCTGCAGCAGAAAATATTAACCAAGAGTCCGTGTTTGTAACAGAGCAACGGTGGCAAAAGGGCAATTCCTGGTGGCAAAATACTCGTCAGAAAACTCCACAGTCCAGCACTCCACAGCCCGGTACAAACCTGTTGGATAAGTACGGACGGCGATCAAAATGTGCAGTGTGCCAAAGTACTTTTCACTGGGTTAAAGACTGTCCGCACAAAGCTGAGAGTGTTAAAATAACCGATGATACAACAGACGTGGAAGAGTGCAATATAACTCTGTACACCAAAGAATCACCAACAGATGCAGAAATATTCATGACAGAATGTTTTGGCTCAGCAATAATAGACACTGCTTGTACTAGGACAGTTTGTGGACAAGAGTGGCTGGACAACTACAGTACTGTGTTACAAAAGAAAAGTGTGAAGACGATGAAAGAGACAGAAACACTAAGTCACAGGCCCTTTAAGTTTGGAGATGGAAGAGTCGTCCACTCCATCAAAAAGGTAAGGATACCTGCTAAGATCGGCAACAAAAAGTGTAATACAGAAACTGAAGTGGTACCTGCTAACATTCCACTGCTTCTGAGTAAAACATCATTAAAAAGGGCTGGGACAGTTTTGGACATGGAAAACAACAGTGCAGTGATGTTCAACCAGCCTGTCAAACTGGACTTTACTAGCTCTGGTCGTTACTGTGTGAACATTGTGGACAGTGAAAATAAAAGTCCTACTCACTCTAATAAGGTATTAGATGCTACTGAGGAAGAAATACTGGCTACAACAGACAAGATGAACACAAGTGAAAAGATGAAAGTTTTGGAGAAACTTCATAAACAGTTTGGGCACGCCTCTTCTGATAAAATACAAAGACTTTTGACTAGTTCTGGCAATAAGGACACAGAATGCAACAGTCTGATGAAAAAGATTGTGAACCAGTGTGAAGTGTGTCAGACCAAACCAAAGCCTGCTGTCGGTTTACCATTGGCATCTACATATAATGAGACGGTTGCTGTAGATCTGCATGAGCTTGAGCCTGGGGTGTGGTACCTACATATCATTGACCAGTTTCAGTGCTGGTAGTGACTTAACCACCAAGAGATCTTCTGAAATAGTCAAACGTTTTATCCATGATTGGATCAGTGTGCATGGCCCACCACAAAAGTTGTTCAGTGACAACGGTGGTGAGTTTAATAACGAGGAAGTGAGAGACATGACCGAAAACTTTACTATTGAAGTTAAAACAACACCTGCTTACAGCCCGTGGAGTAATGGACTGTTAGAGCGCCATAATCAAACTCTGACTGAGATCCTAATGAAAGTTAAAACGAGTACTGGATGTGACTGGAGCACTGCCACGGACTGGGCTCTGGTGGCAAAGAACTCTATGCAAAGTGTCCATGGATTTAGCCCACATCAGCTGGTGTTCGGGCAGAATCCCAACCTACCCTCTGTATTAATAGACAAAGCCCCAGCTCTAGAGGGCACCACCAAGAGTGAATGGGTTGCCAAGCACATTTCAGCCCTGCATCCTGCAAAAAAAGCTTTTACAGAAGCAGAATGTTCAGAAAGTTCTAAAAAAAAAGTTAAATCTAGTCCTCTGGACATTCAAAAGACAAAGCAAAAACAACAAATAAATTGTAGAAACATTTTGTCTCTCATCCAAGAGACTTCCTCAGTCTGAGGAGCTGTATTCAGCTCAGTCTCTTAAATAGCACCTTCTCAGAGTGGATCAACCAGTTTTGCTGCTGACAATCAAAACCAGCTGATCACATGCTCAAGAAGGACCATCAGCCTAACAATGGATCATTAGCACCTGATGGCTGTTTACTACTCACAGAGGGCTGAGTGATACTAGCAATATGGTGTAGAGGCAGGGCAGCCGGCTTGGGACCCGAAAGTCACAGGTTCGATCCCCAGTCACTGCACATCACGTGGCGTCTCTGGGCAGCACGCCTCATCCCCAAAATGCCTCCCGGGTGCTTTCAATAGCTGCCCACTGCACCACCTGGTGGTGGATGGGTTAAATGCAGAGACTAATTTCGCCATTGTATGGAAACATACAGTGCTGACATTGTGATGACATTATTATTATTATTATTCTATTATTATTGTAAGAGGGGGACAGTTGAACCTGGAGGCCTCCACCCCTGTTTACCACAAAGTAATATTGTGTATGCTGTTCAGTGTCAGGAGGGTGATCAGTCTTACATCGGGGAAACTAAACAGCCACTAGCCAAAAGGATAGACCAGCACAGAAGATCAACATCATCAGGCCAGGACTCTGCGGTCTTCACTCATCTCCAGGCCAGAGGTCACTCTTTCAGGGATAAAGATGTTCTCATCCTGGATAGAGAGGAACTATGGTTTGAGAGAGGAGTAAAGGAGGCCATCTTTGTGAAAAGAAACCGTCCATCATTAAACAGGGGTGGAGGCCTCCGGGTTCAACTGTCCCCCTCTTACAATGCTGTGATTGCTAGTATCACTCAGCCCTCTGTGAATAGTAAACAGCCATCAGGTGCTAATGATCCATTGTTAGGCTGATGGTCCTTCTTGAGCATGTGATCAGCTGGTTTTGGTTGTCAGCAGCAAAACTGGTTGATCCACTCTGAGAAGGTGCTATTTAAGAGACTGAGCTGAATACAGCACCTCAGACTGAGGAAGTCTCTCGGATGAGAGATGAAACGTTTCTACATTTTTTTTGTTGTTTTGCTTTGTTTTGTTTTTTGAATGTCCAAAGGACCAGATTGAACTTTTGTAGATTTTTCTACCTGGATTATTGAGCATGCATCATGAAATGTTCAGAAAGGATATGCAGAGCACTAAAGAAACATCTGCGACCTACAGATGAGCGATACAAAACTGGAGACAAAGTCTTTTACAAACAAGTGACCTGTCCAGAATGGAAAGGACCAGGAGTGGTCATTGGTCAAGATGGTGCAGTCGTTTTTGTTAGACATGGAGGCACCTGTGTCAGAGTGCACCAGCTCAGATTAAGGAAAGTTACTCAGGAGCATGAAGAACCTCAGCTTACCTGCAGTGAGGAGAACAATCAAGGACAACATACAGTGGACATCAATGAAGAGGAAGTAGGAGACACTAATGCAGTAAATTCTGAGAATGATCCTTTGCCTGCTCCTGAAAATGCAGAGGCTGAGAGACAGCACACTGAGAACACCATCATAAAGACAGGTCAAATTGTGACGTTCAGAAATACACAGGGTGTCTCACAAAAAGCAAAAGTGTTGGGACGTGCCGGCAAAGCAACTGGGAAATACAAGAACTAGTTTAACTTGGAGCTGCTTGAGCCTGTAGAAGTGGCTGGCAACAGTGAATCAGCTGATCTGTCACAGCTGGAGGATCTTCATGTCCAGGCAAATGTTCATGATACGGATACACACGAGGATGTTTTTGTGATTAAGGACATGTCGTTTGATGAAGCAAAGGAAAATGAAATAAAAAGCTGGAAACAGAATCAAGTGTTTGAAGAAATTGAGGACAAAGGACAAAAGTGTGTCTCCACTCGTTGGGTGTGCACTCTGAAAGAGAGTGAACATGGATTAGCACCAAAAGCAAGGCTTGTTGCACGAGGATTGAGGAGCTACAAGTTTCTGATCTACAAAAGGACTCACCAACCTGTGCTTCAGAGTCACTGAGACTCCTGGTGGCAGTTATATGTCAAAAACAATGGAACCTTCACTCAATGGACATTAAATCTGCCTTCTTACAAGGAATGGAACTGTCCAGAGACCTTTTTATCAAACCTCCCCCAGAGGCCAATAGCACAGGCATGCTATGGAAACTGAAAAAATGTGTGTATGGATTAGCTGATGCCTCACTGTATTGGTATAACAGGGTAAAAAACATCATGATTGAAGCATCATGTCTAAGGTCGACCCTGCAGTTTTCTACTGGCTGGATGAGGGCAAGCATGTAACTGGTGTACTTGCTTGTCATGTTGATGACTTTATATGGGGTGGATCACACATGTTTTCAGAGTCAGTCATACCTCACCTCAGGTCAAAGTTTAATGTCGCTCGTGAAGCGCAGAATAGTTTTTCCTATGTGGGTGTGGATCTTGTTGCTGAGGGTAAGAAGGTACACATGCACCAAGACACATACATTCAGCCCCTGCAGCCCCTACACCTCTCACCCTCATGAGCAGCAGAGTCAGCTTCGCCCCTCACTGAAAAGGAGAGAGAGCAGCTCAGATCGAAGATAGGCCAACTTCTGTGGGCTGTGATACAGAGCAGGCCTGATGTCATGTTTGATGCTAGTAATTTAGCATCTAGTCTCAAACAGGCTACAGTACAGACCATCAGTGAAGCTAACAGAGTTGTGTGTAAACTCAAGACCAAGTCAGTTGAACTTAGTTTTCAACACCTGGGAGAAAACAGTAACTTAAAGATGGTTACATTCACAGATGCATCTTTTGGGAATGTTTCAGATGGGGGCACTCAGGGTGGGCACCTCATTGTTTTAATTTGTGACAATGGGCAGTTCTCTCCCATTTCATGGCAGTCAGAGAGAATTAAGAGAATTGTCAGAAGCACACTTTCAGGTGAAACACTAGCTATGTCTCAGGGGATTGATAATGCAATTTTTCTTTCCACACTGATTTCTGAACTCGATGCTGGTAGTACTGCTTGTCCTCCACCCATAGTCTGCATCACTGATAGTTTCTCAACTAAGTTTGTTGCAGAGAAAAGGCTACACTTGGAAATCAGTTTGATTAAAGAACTGACTCAAACTATGAAAGTTCATCAAGTGTTGTGGTCTCAAACAAAAGACCAACTCGCAGACTGTTTAACAAAAAAGGGAGCATCTACAACCTCACTACTTAAGGCTCTTTATGAAGGACGTTGGATTGTTCAGTAAATTAATTCACGAGTTGTTTCACACTCTCTCATGTTGAAACTGTTCGAACAAAATCCGTAATGGCTGTGATTTACCATGAGTCTTACACAAGAATTATTATTATTTTTATTTTTTAAGAAAAGTGGGAGATTGTTACTCCTTTGTTTTGTTTAGTTTACATGCCAATCCGCTAGGGGGCACTGTCATGGCAGTAGCGCATGTTAAGGTGTTTTACACTCTTCTTCTGTGGTGTCTGAGTCTGGCTGAGATGAGCATGGTGGAATAAAGTTCTATCAGATCCAAGAGGAGAAGTTATTTTTATTGACTAACAGTAAGTAGTAGTTTATTTTAGTGTATGGATGTGTGTGTGTATATATATATATATATATATATATATATATATATATAAGTAAGGCGTTTAAACACTTCCCACACTCTTGCAATATTCTAAACAATGTTTCTAAACTCTAAACGCTCTGAAATAACACAGAATGTCATGACTTCCCTCTCTCTGCCTCGGCTGCTCTCAGCCACCTGCGTGTTTTTGGCCACGCCCACTTCTCTGCTCCACACGTAGAACAGCTGATCAGCTGCAGGAGGAATCTTTTTCTGTAGTGTGGGCTGCACAAAGGTGCAGGAGGTGCTAAATAATTTAAAATAATTTATTTCAAATAAAAACTCCATGCTGATCGTGTGGCTCATCCATCAATCAGCCAATTGTGTGTCGCGTCCAATCTTATTTTGAAAACCACGATAGAATGAGTCTTCGAAAAACGAACCGCGAAGTAGTGAGGGACTATTGTAATCAAAAGCAATATTATTAAGCCAAAGAAACAAATATGAAGAGTACCGCTATGTTTAGATAAAAAATTATCAGTAATTTTCAGATATTCAAATACTCAGTAAATTATGAGTATGTGATCAGTTAACGCAGTTGCCATTTTCATAAGCAGTTGGGTTTTTTTTCCTCCCAAGACCCGTGGTAGTAAGAGGTCAACTTTATTTATTTATTTAGCAGCTTTCACAAAATAAAATCCACAAAGTGCTTCACAGTAGAATGTAAATGTAAAACAAACAAACACCAAACGAAAGGACAAAAGAGATAAAACAGAGCGGCACTAAAGCAACAATAAACTCCTACAGTCATTATCTATTTAAAAGCCTGAGTAAATAAACGCATGTCTAACACCACACCAACGACAGCCGGGTGCAGCAATGCATTAGTACCATGATCAACATAACACTTACCAAAAAAACTCAGTAATTCCTCATCTGTTTCTGATATTGCAGTTTTATTTAAAGAGGATTACCAGTATTAGGAGGAATGTATAGGTATGGGTGAGCTACATCTTTACTCCCAGAACCCACACCCGCTCCTCCGTACTGATCTGTAACACTGGTGAAACACAAATGTCCCCATAAGCTAAACGTTTCCTGCAACCTCTGTTCCTTCAGAGGGTTTTCAGCAGCAGGACTTGTGGCAAATAGACTATATTCACCCCCAAGTTTTGTTCTCAACCCTATGGACATATACATTTTATTTTATTTATTTATTTTTCTAATCAAATATATTAAAACGTATATTAAATCTCAGAACAATATTTGCAAGATGATTGCTAACATTGGTTCTTGCTATGATGATCATGATAAATGCCTTCTCTGAGTTTTTCTCTGTTCTTATGATGGTTTTGTTTAGATCAGTAATTTATTTGTTTGAATACAAGAGAGTTTGGAGTTCTGACACTTTCTCAAGCCATAACAGAACTGCATTGAATGTGATCGTTTTACCAACAAATTTGACTTGAACAATTAAAAGACAACAAAAATCAAGGCAAACCCCTGACTAGCAAACACGTTTTCATCTTTTTGCTTTCACATATGCAGTTCACGGATTGTACCAGTAATAGTTGTGTCAGCCCAGTTTGTTTTGCGTCAGCCATCGTCTGTTCTAATAGGGTTTTTAGAGAACTTGTCAGCTGCTGCAGGAGCCCAAGCGCCTCAAGTATTGTGCCTGTGTGTCGCTTGTCAGGCCAGCAGCACCTAACGGTGCAGACGATGCAGGGCGGAGGACTCCAGCTGGCGGCGGCGCAGGGCCAACCTGCCATCCAGGTGGATCAGACCCTCACGCTGGAGCTGCCTGCTCAGCCGGGAGAGAAGAAGCGACGCATGGCCTGCACCTGCCCCAACTGCAAAGATGCAGAAAAAAGGTGAGTGTGTCAACAAACACCTGCCGGTACAATATTCAGTTTTATTTATTTTTTTAATCTTTCAGAAAAGAGTCGAGCGTATTTAGAATAAAATGAATTTTATTTTGGTTTAAGTTGAGAACAGTGGAAGAAGCTCTTCGGTGACAGTTTTTGTGCTGATACCAACATTGCATAGATTTCAGTGTCTCTACAGACAAGTAAAAAGCAGCTTACAGGTCAGCAGCAGAAGAGAGATTCAGGCAGCAGCTTCTACTCATACTTACTGTACATACACGAACAATTTCAAGTTGCAGTGATAATATTTACATTTGCAGCAAAGTGTCCCACTTACAGCTTCTTTGATGTTTCCAGAATCTTTCATTATGAGTCCTCGAGGCTCAATGGGACTAACCTGTATAAATAAAGGTGGAATTAAAGTAATTTACTTGTGAGTTGACAGTAAAATTTCATAAAGACTCCTATCAAAAATATTTAGTATGTCTTAATCTAAAGTCCTGTCCTGAAAGTGGCTTTCTGAAACACTGACTTTGCAAACTCCTGGTTCACGAAGATTTGAGTTTACCTGAAACCAGATTATTTTAAACCATCTTTACTAGTAGTAGCTTCACCAACATTGCCTGTAAATTGTGGAATGGAGCTAGGAAGCCTGAAATTGTATGAATAGCAGAGTGAAATGAATGGAAAACATTGGCAGCAGACAGGCAAATTAAATGCAAAATATAAAAATCAGTTTGTAATTAAAGGACAATCAAACAGATTCAGCCAAGATCTGTCTCATGCTTGCAAACTAGTCGCTTTTCTGCGAAATTCACCGATTTCAAACTAAAATATGTCATTTACATGCATCGTGAAGAGTTTATTTTTTGGTGGGGTGGGGGTGTCGGAGGCGCGGTGGATGACATCATTTCCCTTTAAGAAACAGAGTTCCTCCTCCGTCACTTGGCTCAGCAGGTGTTCATCTCTTCAGGGTTTTTGTCGATGGGGTGGGGGGAGGAGGGGGAGACAACTCCGTGTTGTGCGCTAGCTTACAGCAAGTTGTTGATCAGCGTGTGTTTGTGTGTGTGTGTGTACGGGGGGGCGGGGTTAGGATGTGTGAGAGAAACGGAGCGCGTAGCATATTAGCTAGCGCGTCTGTTGTGCGCAGCAAGATTTTGCCTTAAGATTTGAAAAGTCCAGCTGATGGAGTTCTAGAGAAGCCTTGAAGGAGAAAGAAGACAGGTAACAAAAGTTTTCTGGAAAGTAAAAGTTAGTTAGTTAGTTGTTAGTTAGTTAGTTAGTTGTTAGTTAGTTGTTAGTTGGATGTTATTCCACATGGATTGTGAAGGAAAGGGGAATAAATGTATGAAGTGTAGAAAATGTGGTACTAAGGTTGGAAGAACCTGTAAATTATTTTTGTTTTAATTATTACAAGCAGGTTCACAAAACTGACTAAAAATGTTTTTGTTGTTGTTGTTGTTGCTTGGCACAGTGTAACTTAGTGTTGTGAAGCTGCATGATGTCAGGTCATTTTCTGTCATGAGTCTATCACCAAGTCAGAAAACAGTAAAAAGTCTCTAAATTCACTGTTGCTGGATATTAAAATGTCACCTGTTCATTGGGTAAACTTAATGTTCTTATTTTTAAACATGTAGTTCAGTGTCACCGTTGCTTAACACAATGGCACGTTGTGTTGCAAATAAAACTAAATCAAAAATTAACAAACAAAAGTCAAGCGCTCCCCTAAAGTCAGTGTTTATGATAAATTGTGTCACATTAATATCTTAGCCATAGGAGTGAGTTTAAAGACAGCATGATGCGTTTAAGGACTAGTTGAATGAGGTGTCTCTAAAATCTCCTGATGCGTGATCAATAATTTCAACAGGTTTTTAATCCGTCCAGAGCACCTGACTTTATTTTGTTGATGTCTCTAAAATAGTTATTGAATCAAGTGTTTACTTATGTAGGTAAACATAGATGTTTAACAACCTGTCAAAATACACCAGGATGCAAGAAATAGCATCTATTTATTTAAAATGTTCTGGGGGGGAACCCTCCCCCCACACATATTACAAGTGTTTCTGATGCCAGTGGACATGAAAGAGGAACAAGGAAACGGGGCCTTGAACGTCTCGTCAGGCCAAAGCATTTAAGAAATGAGTTTTAGCTGTTAGCTAAATGCTATGCTGTATTTGGCTTGCTGCTGCTGTTTGTTTGTTTGTTTGTTTGTTGATACCATCTTTCCTATGTTTGTCCTCATTAAATTAGGATATGTTAGTAAATGTATTTTACCTGAAGCCTGTTGTCTTTTCCTCCAATGTTCTTCTTGGAGTGTACCAGAATGATTAATGTACATGTTAAAAAATGACTAAATCTTCTGGTGGGGGTGGGTTAGGCACTAGCTTTGTCCCCATTTTCATCCTTTCTGAGTTTGCAGGTGTGCTGTCTACGGTAATAATTTTTACTTTTGTAACTTTATTGTTTTTTTTTAGGAATATGTTGACATTACATGTGTTCAAGACAGGGTTTGTTAAAGAATATGAGAAACCTGCAGAGTTCTGCTGGAACCTAAAGAGAGACTGGTGGAAACCTGCAAAGACCCTCAACAACTAAATGATCTTTTATATTTACTTTTTCCTCAGTCTCACTCACAACTAAATTTGATTTTGTGTTCCTGCCTTGTTCTCTTCATGGCGTAAGAAGGGGTGTCTAATCCCAGCAGTCAGTGGGCAAGGGGTGGGGTTGCACCATGAACAGGAAGTTCATCACAGCAGAGCAGTTTTACCCGAGTGCTCTCCCAACTCAAAGAGCACGAGGAAATTAATTTTTGCTTTAACTACAATTACTCTTATTGTACATCCCTTTTCTGCCATTAAGAACTTTTATCTGTGATTAAATTACCTGTCCTAAAGATGATTCAGAAAGAAACAAACAAGAATTTAACAAGATTAACACTTAAAAACAATTATTTGTTTGTTCAAAACTATAGTAAATGTGTGTCTCAGTACTTTTCCTTAATAAATGTACTTTGACGGTCAAATCAGCTGCATTTTGCCGGGGCGGCGCAGTAAAATGAAGCTGATTTGATGGTTACTCCAGGCCATCTGGATGAAGGTGGCATTTATGGCAAGCCGATTGTGTCATTAATAGCCACTTTTACCTATTGCATGACACAACGGCATGCCATACTGCTCGAGTGCCATCTAGTTGCTTAAAATGTTCAATATTTTCAGTCAGAATGAATGAAAACTTATAAGCCTATATATTTAAACTTATTTGGCCGATAACCAATACCAATATTTTTCCCACTAAACCTACTTACAGAGACTACACAGCTTTCTCTGCTGTGGAATTAAAATACTACAATATTCTTCATGGTCTTTGTCAGTTTGGCCTGCTACCAAATGCAGATGTCAAAAATGAGGCTGAAAATTATGTAACACTATATAAATATATATATTTTTTAAAAACAGCGCCTTTTATATCTGAGTTATTTTGATGGAATGGCCGATGTCCGATATTTAGCTTTATCGCTAATATCGGCTGATACCATGCCGATAATATTGTTCATCCTTAATGAAAACGGTCATATCTCAGCCAAAAATCGGTTTATTAATATGGGAAAAATCCATAAATAAGTTGCTTTGGCGTATACGTTGCAGGGCATGTAAGTTGTGCTAAAAACTGTGACTTATAGGCCGAAAAATACGGTAAACACAGAGTATCGGATGATTTTTCTGTTCACCGTGGCAGTCTTTAGCTCCTTGTCATGATAAAAAATAAAACGCTGTAGCCGTCGAGAGGCCACATCTCCATGCAGCGGTGTGTACGGTGGACTGTTCCTTTTTATGGACTTCAGTTTTAGGCTCATCTGATCAGACTTTGGTTTATGAAGGGTCCGTGGTGCGGTCAGGTGAACTCAAGACTTGTTTGCTTGTGTTCTTATAAAATAAACAATATACCTTATTTAAATGCTTACGTTACGTCAAACAAAGGTGGATTCAATTGTATAAGCTGTTTGGCATCTAACAGTTTTGACAACTCCAGTACATAAAAGTTTTATTTAACTTTAAAGAAAGTGAAAACATACCAATGCACAGCTCTGTACTATGGTTTGTTAATGTTTCAAGAGTTTTTGTCTTTGCCTCACCATTTACTGGTCGTCTAAAATCTTAGAAAATAAAAACAACCTGGTGTTGCCTTAAAATTAATGCTTGTAAATTCCCCTCCCAAGTTTTGAATCGATGCTCAATTTTAGCTTGAAAACTATTGTTATACTAAAAGCGTTTGTGTGTTTACTTCATAGGCCTGGAGAGATCGGGAAAAGGAAACACATCTGCCACGTCCCGGGCTGCGAGAAAACATTCAGGAAGACATCGCTGCTCAGAGCCCACGTCCGGTTGCACACTGGAGAGAGGCCTTTTGTCTGCAACTGGGTTTTCTGCGGGAAACGTTTTACTCGCAGTGATGAGCTGCAGAGGCACGCGAGAACACACACAGGTGATGCAGGCATTTAAACACACACACAAGAATTTTAAGTACCGTACGTGAGAGCGATCACCCACTGATCAAAACGGTTCTCTGCAATATGCTGAAACCACAAAAAGGAAAGGGTTCTGTATGAGGCCACTCTAACCAAACTACCTGTGGAATAAAGTTATTTTGCTTTGACAACCCCTCCTGAATCTAATCAAGTGTGTAGCAAGTTCACTATCAGGAGAGAGTAAATCTTCCACATCAGGGATGGTGGTGGTACATTTGTCCCATTATACAATTTGTTCATGTTTTCAATATATGTATGTATAT